TTGCACTTTCTGAAGGTTTTTACTTGCCCGGTTGCAGGATGCTTTTGCTTCACAGATAATCAGTTTTATACGCCGAAGGATGCCGACAGGGGTGATGAGTAGCTGTGTTTTACCGCAGGATACGATGAAAATTTTGTTGAGTGCGTTGGGCAAGGCCACATGCATGTCAAGCACAACAGTGAATGAGTTAACAAACTTGTATGTGCACATCGAATCACAGAAGGTTCGTTTTCTTCCCCTCTTCATCCATTTTTTAGGGGTTGTGTGTTTGCTTAGCATCTTATAGCTTTCAGTTTTTGGCGCCTGAGTTGGGATATGAATTACTCTTCTTGCCCGGGGATTTTCGCTTTCGTCTGTGAAATCAGCATTCTCCTGCACAGATGGATAGTATTTCCCCGACCGTATGAAAAAAATTGACTTTTGAAACCGATTTTAAAAAGAGATGAAAATGTTCTTGAAACGAAAGGATTGGGACTTACGGCACAGACTTTTTTGTTGAAAGCTATTATTTAACTTGATGATACTCCATTGCGTTTGCATGGCTTTTGCTCGATGCGGGAATGACAGATTTTGAGGGTTTCTGGTCTTTTTTTGATCTGCTAAAAGAAGCCTGTTGCAAAATCCCATTCAGTCATCTGATCTTGGTGCAAAAAGGCAGCGAATTGAGCAGTGCCGAGAGGTGACGTGGTACAAACTTTAGCTGCCGAAAGAAAAAATACGGGTGAATTTTATGCAATTAATTGATACCTTTGAGACGTGGGTCCTGAGTGACCTACTTATAGTGCGCTTGAGGAGCGTTTTTTTCTTGGATTTTTTAAATTTTGGGTTAATTTTTAAGGCACTGAAAAGCGGTCAGGCTAGTAGTTCAAGTGGCAGCATATCAACGTCGCGGGCGCAGCTAAACATCAGCGGGTCTGCGCATGCTCCTACCACAACGGGCATGTTTGCTAGCGGTTTGAGTACCACTTCAAGTGCACCAGTGCAACAACAACAGCAGCAGCAGCCCCCGGGTATTAGTTTTGCTAGCAGTTTTCCACTTGGAACAACAGGATTCGGCACGACAAGTCGCGAAGTGCTTGGTAAGTTTTCGTTACTTTCCCTTTCGGTCTGTTTCTTAAAATCCTGGCCTCTTTTAATATCAAATCAACGACATGATGCATTCGGCAGAATCCGGAAAATCAAGAAATGCCTTCTCTAGCGTATTTCATTTAGTACATGTTGCAGCAAATGGCGCCAGTATAACTGGAAAGTTTGCCCGGCTTTCTTCAGCTTCCTTAATCGCTGATTTTGCGTCGGTAAAAATTCCAAATATAAAACAGCAGTTGTTACGATCTTTCTTCGCTCTTAGCAAATATCAGAAGGCTTTGTTTTGCGCAGAATAGAATATCAATGGTTCTTCCACCATTAATTCTTTTCAAATACCA